CCTGGAGAAGGGAAAGGCTACCCACTCCAGTATTCTTGGGTTACCCTTGTGGCTTAGCTGGTAAAGAATCTGCCTGCAATGTGGGAGACATAGGTTCAATCCCTGGGTTGGGAAGATCCCCTGGAGAAGGGAAAGGCTACCAAATCATACTATCAAGAAAGTGAAAAGATGATTCACAGAATGGGAATAAAGTTTTATAAATCATATATCTGATAAGAATCTAGTATCCAGAATATGCAAAGAACTCTTACAACTCAACAATAAAAAGACAAGTTGTTGTTCAGTCCCTAAGCCGTGTCTGACTCTTTGTGATCCCACTGACTGCAGCACACCAGGCTCCCCTGTCCTCCACTATCTCCCAGAGTTTGCTCAAATTCATATGCACTGAGTCAGTGATGCTATCTAACCATCTCATCCTCTGATGCCTCTTCTCCTTTTGCCTTCAATCTTTCCCAGCATCAGGGTCTTTTCCAGAGAGTCAGCTCTTTGCATCACATGGCCAAAGTACTGGAGATTCAGCATCAGTCCTTCCAATGAATATTCAGGTTTGATTTCCTTAAGGATTGACTGGTTTGATCTCCCTGATGTTCAAGGGACTCTAGAGAGTCTTCTCTAGCACCACAGTTCAAAAGCATCAATTCTTCAGCACTCAGCCTTCTTTATGATCCAACTCTCACATCCATACCTGACTATTGGAAAAACTATAGCTTTGACTAGATGGACCTTAGTCAGCAAAGTGGTATCTCTGCTTTTTAATAGTCTGTCTAGGTTTGTCATAGCTTTCCTTCCAAGGAGCAAGTGTCTTTTAATTTCATGGCTGCAATCACCGTCTGCAGTGATTCTGAAGCCCAAGAAAATAAAATCTGTCACTGCTTCCACTTTTTCCCCTTCTACATGCCATGAAGTGATGGAACCGGATGCCAAGTAACCCAGGTCAAAAAAACAAGCAGAGATCCAAAAGTCTACAAGCAATAAATGCTGGAGAGGGTGTGGAGAAAAGGGAACCCTCTTACACTGTTGGTGGGAATGCAAATTAGTACAGCCACACAATGTATAACAAAAACTACTGTAATGATGTAAAGTAATTAGCCTCCAACTAATAAAAATAAATGGAAAAAAAAAAAAAAAACAAGCAGAGGATTCAAATAGACATTTTTCCAGAGAACATACACAAGCAGAGAATAAACATATAAAAATATTGCTCATTTTATTATTTATTAGGGAAATGAAAATCAAAACAATGAGTATCTACTTCATACCCAGTAAGATGGATACAACAAAAAAAATAAAAGTATTGGTGAGAAGTTGGAACCCTTATATATTGCTTGGGGAATGTAAAATGGTGCAGCTGCAGTGAAAAACAATTTGGTGGTTCCTCAAAATGTTAAATACAGCATTACCATATGACTCAGCAATTCCACTCCTAGATATATATCCAATAGAACTGAAAACATATAGTCTCACAAAAAATTGTGCATAAATGTTCATAGCAGCATTATTAGTAATAGGCAGAAACCACCCAAATGTCGTAATCAAAATGTCAATACAATATCAATAAAATATAATTACAATACAATATAAATACCCTGGTAGCACAGTGGAAAAGAATCTGCCTACCAATGCAGGAGACACAGGAAACACGGGTTCGATCCCCAGGTCAGGAAGACCCTTGGGGAAGAAAATGGCAACCCACTCCAGTAATCTTGCCTAGGAAATCCCATGGACAGTGGAGCCTAGTGGACTATGGTCCAGGGAGTCACAAAGAGTTGGACATGACTTCACGCGCACACACACACAAATACAATACAAATATAATTTTGTCATAAAAGGAATGAAGTAACGATCAATGCTATAAAATAGATGAATGGGAAAACATGCTAAGTCAGAGACGCTAGACAAAAAAAGGCCATATGTAAATGAAATGTCTATTACAGGCAATACACAGTGACAGAAAGTAAATATTATTGATCACGAAGGGCTGGGGAGAAGCAGGAGTAGGGAATGGGACAGGGTGACTGCAAATGAAAATGAGGCTTCTTTTTGGGGTGACAAAAATGTTCTGGAATTAAATGGGTAGTGACGGTTGCACAACTTTATGAACACTATGTTTATAAAAACTACTAAATTATATACTTTAAAAGGGTGAATTTTATGGTATATGAATTCTATCTCAATTTTTAAAACTGAATAGGAAAAAAGCTTCCTAACAACCAAAATACAGATCACAAAGATTATAGAGTAAAGCCATATATTTTCCTCTACTAAAAAAAAATTGTATTCTTACCTCAAATTTATTTATTCTCACTTTAAATATAATTTGTACAAGCATGGTTGTATGGTCAAAACCTATAGTGGATTAAAAGCTTTATATTAGGGGAAATGAAATTGATACCAACAGACATACTGACAGTAAGATTTTTTTTAAAAAGCGAAAGAACTTATAAGCATCTTGTGAAGCCATGTAGTAAGAGCAAATTGGTCTATGCATTTCACTGCATGTATGTATGCATGCTAAGTCACTTCAGTCATATCTGACTCTTTGCAACCCTATGGACTACAGCCCGCCAGGCTCCTCTGTCCATGGGATTCTCCAGGCAAGAATACTGGAGTGGGTTGCCATGCCCTTCTCCAGGGGATCTTCCCCATCTAGGGATCAAACACTTGTTTCTTATGTCTCCTTCACTGGCAGGTGGGTTCTTTATCACTAGCAACATCTGGGAAGTCCCACGCACTTCATTAGGTTATGCTTACTAATGACAAACAGCCTGACACAACAATCTACGTTTATAGTAATGAAAATAATGAAGATGATTAATATAATAAGAGCTAACCCACTCATTATTTTCCATATGCCAATCACTGTTCTAAGTACCAAACATTTATTTATCAAATTCCCAACAACCCCACAAGAAAAGTCATATTATTATCTCATTTTACAGATGAGGAAAACAAGGAATCACACTAAGTAAGTGGAAAAGTTAAGATTCAAACTAAGGCAGTTGGCTTCAGAGTTAATCCTCTTCTTAACCAGTAGACTATCCTGCCTCTCAGTGATGAGCTATCAGTCATAAAAATTAAAAAAATTAAAATGTCAAGCAATGTTCAGTGTGTTCCAAAAAGACTGAAAAATCTACAATTTTGTTTCATTATTTTTAAAAAGCTGCAGTCCATGAGGTCACAAAGAGTTGCACACAACTTAGCAACTGAACAACAATTCAAAAAATAAATAAATAAAACCTTTCCTATGGCATCATGTTATCAACAGGAGAAATTCTAGAGGTCAAAAAACAGCTCTTTACAATCTGACTCTAACCCATATTTCCAGCTTATCTATCTCCTCTAGTTCTAGCCAAACCAGACCGCTCACGTTCTTTAAACAGAGCCTGCATTTTCACACCACTGTGTTAAAGGCCTTTGCTTCACTTCACTTTGCCTAGACAATTCCTTCAAAAGATCCTTCAAAATCTAGCTCAAATAATACTTCCTCTGTGCCACCTTCCCTGATGCCATTAGGCAAAACTGTTCATACAGCATTTTGTACATATTTCTATTAAAGCATTTATCACATGACATCAGAATTAAATGCTTAACTCTTCTTTTAACCTCCTAGAATTAGAACCTAGTACACTGTGGATGATAAACAAAATTATTCTTAAGTTATGGTACTTAATAAAGTCCAAAATTACTTTTATTTTAATTTAGCAATACAAAATGACTGGTTAGCTAATGTCTAAGTAGTCATGGTTTTAACAAAAGCCATAAAATTTAAATAATTTAAGTAGACAAGGTCATTTTCATATAAATTCAGTGTTATAAAAGTTCCTACAAATAGAATTCAGTCACCAAAATCTTAAGAAGAAAATTCTAATACTCTAGACCAAACCTGAGTCATTTGCCACAGTAAAGTGAACATGAATAATGATGTGGGTAAAATTTTAAGTGAGAGATGAAAGTTCCCAGAATCTAAGCCAAGAGAATCAAAGGCTACAAGGATACCATTTAGTAAATTACTGCTTGGCACACTGACTGAATGCCCTCAGAAATTATTGTCCCTCCCAATTCAAGTCAGTCCTCAAGAGTAAATTACTCTCTAAAAAGTTCTAACAGAATTTATATCTTATTACTTGTTCCAGGTGAGTTAATATTTAATTCTGATTGGACAAAACACAACTATACGATGCACGCAATCAATCTATTCCTCTCCCAATGCGTAATTTACAACAACCAAGCCAATAACATACAGAACAGCCAGTACAGTTTTTAGCATTTAATAATTACAAAAGAGTACTTAACGGTTCCTCAAATATTTATTGAATTAACTGCATTTTGCCAATTCTATTTAAAAAGTTACTTTACCTATAAAGGAAATGTCATTTCACTTAGGCTTATTTTTTTTTAAAGTTATCCAAACTACTAGCTAATTTTTTCTATTATCCCCAACTTATACCCTTACCTAATATGCTATCAACTCAGGCAAATGAGGCTTCCCAGATGGAGCTAGTGGTAAAGAGCACGCCTGCCAATGTAGGACACGTGAGACGTGGGTTCGATCCCTAGGTGGGGGAAGATCCCTTGGAGATGGGCATGGCAACCCACTCCAGTATTCTTGCCTAGAGAATCCCAAGGACAGAGGAGCCTGGTGGGCTACAGTTCATGGTCCAAATCTGACCCCTTACTATTTACTGTCAACTCCAACTTCTTTCTTTCAAACTCTCACCCATCCACAAACTTCCAGATCTCTAAAAAACCGCCTGCCTCCAGCTCATCTTCCTGACTGCAAGTCACTCACACTTTTCAGAGGTAAATGAATGATCAGAGCTAAGGATGGATCACTACCCTCCAAGGCAACCTTTAACACAAAACACAGCTTTAAGTCAAAATGTTAACTTTGCATTCTATTTCTGTTGACATAAAATTAAAACCAACTTAACTATTTCTATGTGTTACCCATTCAGGCAGTCACAGACCTGAATAAATATTTGTGTAGTATTCTCCATTACCTAGGCTGAGAATTCTCCTCATACATTCTTTCTTTCCCCTCCTTGAAGAGGCTTATGGTCTGCTTAGTTTTCTTCATCAAATTCTCCATGAACACCCTAAAATACTCATTTTCTCCAAGTGTCTCCATCTTCCCCTCATATCTTGACAAGATAGTGCGGAGATGCTGGTAGGTATCTGGTAGCAGGTCTAAGATATAAGGTGGGCTATTCTTTAGCGCCAGCTTTGGGTTCTGACACAACCGTACCACCTGCAACAAATGGAAAAGAAGGACTATTACTTGGAGGATCTTATGGGCAACTTCCTTTTTTAAATTTAAAAAAAGTTATAAAATATGTGTTCTTTTGTAGAAATATGAAAAATGCACAAGAATATAAGAAATGATCCATAACACCCCCCTACAGGCAATCTCTTTTAGCAGCTCCCCGAAAGGGCGGGTTCTTAAAACTGTATTTAACAGTTCAGATAACACACAGAAGACTAAACAATTGGGGTGGGGGAGATACCCACACACATGCCTAAAAAACGCTAGACGAAGTACAGAAAGTTACTTTGAAATGCATGGCTCATCCCACAACAGAACAAAGAAAATTTCTAGGGGCACAAATAAAGAACATGGCTGCCCTGGGAGGAAAACCTTGGAAATGCAGGAGCCTAGAGATTTGACGACCACTAGGGGACAGGAGCACAGATGTCTTGGACCCAGCAAAGACCCAGCAAAGAGTTGAAACCAACTCTTTCAAGACACCATTTCTTCCCATTTAAATGCAAGACTCTGAGAATGTGCCTGGTCATTCATTTTACCTTCTTTTATTTTTAACTTTTTTGAGTTCTTAGCTTTAAGTAGGTCTCTTTTTAAAAAACATATTAGACTTTTTTAATCCAATGTAACAATCTTTGTTTTTTGACTGGTGAGTTTAGTATATTTTATATTTGTTATAACGATTAATAATTTGTATTCATTCCTATTCTTGTTTAGCACTTTCCATAGATTTTTGTGTCTGAAAAAAACATAAATTAGTGGAATAATAAAGCCTACTTCAGTAAAGAAATAGACCCACACATATATAGACCCTTGACTTATCACAATGGAGTGATGATCTTTTCCAAAAACAGTAGTGGTACAATCACACAGGAAAAAAAGAAAATCAAACTAAACCCTCCCCTTATACTATACAATAAACAAAACAAATCAAGGACTTCCCTGGTGATCCAGTGGTTAAGACTCTGCACTCCCAATGCAGGGGACACAGGTTTGATCCCTGGCCAGGGAACTAAGATCCCATGTGCTATACAGCATGACCAAAAATTAAGATAAATAAAATAAAAAGAATCCACTCATCAAAAAAAAAAAAGACAAAACAAAACAAAAAACCTAGATGGGTTCTAGACCCAAATGTGAAAGGCAGCTTTAGAAGACAGGAAAACTATCTTTCATTACCTCGTGATGGTGAAAAAATTCTGAAACAGGACCATAAATACATTAGCAATAAAGGAAAATATTAAAGTCTACTATATTCTAAAAGAACTTCTAGATACCATGAAAGAGTAAAAAGATATTTATAATATGTATATATTAAGACATACATATATATCCAGAATATATAAAGGGCATCTACAAATCAGTAAAGCAGATACAACCTAATACAAAATGAACAAAAGACTTGAACAAGAACAAAACAAAAGAAGATATCAAAATAACCACTAAACATATGAAATGGTCCTTAATCTTATTAATCATTTTAATTTCATTAAAATGAAAATCATTAAAAAAAAAAAAATCATATGCTCACAACTACCACTACACACATCACACTGGTAATGCCAATCACTGGAAAGGAGCAAGGACCTTCAAATACTACTGGTGGGAATCTAAGCTAATAAAACCACCTTGAAAAACAGGTCAGCACTATATTGTCAGGCTAAAGATTTATATGCTCTAAAAACCTGCAGATCTCCACTTGGAAAGGTATACTAGGATACACATACAAAAATATGTAACAACTAACAACTACAAACAACCCAAATGTCCATCAACGTAGAGTGGACAAATTATAGTATATTTATTAGCAATAATACACTACCACATTGGAGAAGGAAACAGCAACCCACTCCAGTATTCCTGGAAACAGCTTCCCTGGTAGCTCAGACGGTAAAGCATCTGCCTCCAATGCGGGAGACCTGGGTTTGATCCCTGGGTCAGGAAGATCCTCTGGAGAAAGAAATGGCAACCCACTCCAGTATTCTTGCCTGGAGAATCCCATGGACGAAGGAGCCTGGCGGGCTACCGTCCACGGGGTCGCAAGAGTCAGACACAACTGAGTGACTACACCACCACCACCACACTACCACATGGAAGCTCACTTCAAAACAGATCTAAAGAAACCAGAAAACAAAATATGTTTAACACCATTACACATATGACTACACTACTGTTACAAAGATATCCCATTAAACTGTTGAGCTATGCATACATAGGTGGTAAAAATATAAGTAACAGAAAAAAATAAATTTTATTTTATTTGCAGCTGATATAACTGTCCATGATTAAAATAAAGGAGAACTGACAAACCATTAGAAGCAAACAGTCCAACAGGTTACTGGATTCAAAAGTAACCTGGTTCAAAACTGATATACCAAAACAGCATTCATAAACATTTTATAAATAATTTTAAAACATGATTTTAATTGCTGTCATTTTAAATGGCTTAAATAAAATTTTAAGGCTCCTAGGAATACATCTAACAGTGTGCAAGACTTTTATTAAGAAAATTATTAAACTTTACTGAAGAACATAAAAACAGAAATTAAGGAGGAATTGTATCATGTTTAAGGAAATGTCAATTCTCCCCCAAGTTAGTATATAAATGCAGGGCACTTCTTATCAAAACTCCAAAAAGCTTTTTTGCAGAACTTAACAAGTTGATCCCAAACTCACATGGAATAAAAAGAAACCAAAATCAGTCAAGCCTATTTTGAAGTAGGAGGTATTTACCCAATGGGCTATCAAGACTCCTTCATATCTTATAATTAAAATAATGTGATATCGCCCAAAGACAGATAAATGACCAAATGGATAAGAAGAGAGATCAAACAGACACACACGTATAGATATTAAGTATCAGAAGCGGCATTACAGATAAGTTCAAGAGGAATCCGCTGGCAACCAGTGGTTAGGACTCTGCACTTCTACGTCGGGGGCACAGGTCCCCTCCCTAGTCAGGGAGCTAAGATCCTGCATGAGGCGTGGCCAAAAAAAAAAAAATCAAACCCACAAATCAATTAAAGAGAAGAACTACTGGAAAACTGGTTATCCATATGGAAAAAAAAAATCCCTTACACATTACGTAATAAGTAAATTTCCAGTGAATTAAACATTTTGTGCAGAGAAAAAGCTTTGAAGATTTTAGGAAAAAAATTTGGAAAATATTTGTTGAATTTATGATCTCAAAGGGGAAGTATTACTTAAGACACAAAAACAAATCATAACCATAAATAAAACAAAAGACAACCCATAGAATGGGAGAAAATGTTCTCAAACAAAGCAACTGACAAGGGATTAATCTCCAAAATATACAAACAGCTCATTCAGCTCAATGTCAAAAAAACAAACAACCTAATCAAAAAATAAGAGGAAGATCTAAATAGACACATCTTCAAAAGAGACATACAAATGGCCAAACACATGAAAAGATGTTCAACATCATTAATTAGTAGAAAAATGCAAATCAAAACTATAGTGAGGGATCACCTTACACTGGTCAGAATAGCCATCATCAAAAAGTCTACAAATTGGGAGTTAGTGGTTAGGATTCTGGGCTTTCTTTTTTTCTTTTTTTTTTTTGGATTCTGGGCTTTCAACTGCATGGCCTGGGTTCAATCCCTAATCAGGGAACTGAGATCCTGCAAGCCAAGCTGTGAGCCAAAAAAAAAAAAAAAGTATTCTTACATTTAAGGCATGATTTTGTTGTGCAGAATATAACTGTTGCTACTAAGTCACTTCAGTCGTGTCCAACCATGTGCGACACCATGCGACCCCATAGACAGCAGCCCACCAGGCTCCCCCGTCCCTGGGATTCTCAAGGCAAGAACACTGGAGTGGGTTGCCATTTCCTTCTCCAATGTGTGAAAGTGAAAAGTGAAAGTGAAGTCACTCAGTCATGTCCGACTGGTAGCGACCCCATGGACTGCAGCCTACCAGGCTCCTCCGTCCATGGGATTCTCCAGGCAAGAGTACTGGAGTGGGGTGCCATTGCCTTCTCCACAGAATATAACTGGTTTCTTTTTAATCCATTCTATCTTTGATTTTAACCAATTTGACCTGTTTACACTTCAATTATGAAACTTATTATTTCATATGGTTCACTTAATAAGTTCTGACAGTAGAGTAAATAATAAAATAATTTACTATTTGTTTCCAATGTCTCTCTTGTTTCATATTCCTACCTCCCCTTTCTAGCCCTCATTCAGTTTACATGTTTATTATCCCAATTTTCTCCATTAGCTTGTCAAATATATATTCTTCTACTACTCTTTAAATGAACAACTTAATAATTGTAAAATGCACTCTGACTCGTGAAAACTTGTATCAAGTAGTACTTTTACCACTTCCCAGACAATGCAAGGGACACTAACTCCATTTACTCTTTCCAAGTCATGTGCCATTTACTATCATACATTTTAATCCCAAACAGCATGTATCAAGTTCATAAGCCATTATTACTATTTATTATTTTATACAGACAATATTCATTCTTATTTACCCACAAGACCACCCTTCCCAATTCTCTTCATTGCATCTGAAATCATTTTCCTTCAGCCTAAAGAACACCCTATGCCCTTTAAGGTATAGGCTATGGGCTGTAAGTTCTCCTCAGCTACAGGCATACCTCGGAGATAACACCATTTCCGCATCAAACCACTGAAATGAAGGGAGTACTGCTATAAAGCAACTCACACAAAAATTTTGGTTCCCCAGTGCATGTAAGCTATCCTTATATTATACGGCAGTCTATTAAGTGTGCAATAGTAATGTGTCTTTAAAAATAATATACATACCTTAGTTTAAAATATTACTAAAAAATTGCTAATCTTCAACTAACAACACAGGGCTGCCACAAACCTTCAATGTATAAAAAATGTATTATCTGCTAAGTGCAATAAAATGAGGTATGCCTTCTGGATACCACTGTTCCTGTTGAAAAGTCATGCTGTCAGTCTCACTGCTGCACCTTTGAATATAAAATGTCT